CCAGCTGCTATTTCATCTCTTCTCTCCTGTGGTTGCCATGTCTTTCATTAGCTGACCCTGATTAGAGATTTGGTCTCAGTGATCATCCAGGAGGCCACCTTCATCCATTTCAGGAAGGAGGGCTGGGCCTGGATTAAGTCCTTGAGAGGATGCTGCATGTAATCAGCTCCATTACAGGCAGTCAGTATGGTTTCAATGCCTCTGTTCTTCTTTAGAGATCAGATCATTCACCTTTGTTTCTTATAATCAACTACTGGGAGAGATGTTGAGCTGAGAGACTTCTATTTTATTTGTTAAATAGTTTAAAAGCCCCTGGTTCCAAAATGCATTTGAGCCCTGGCTGGTATGGTTCAGTAGATTGAGTGCTGCACTGTGAACCAAAGGGTCAGTTGTTTGATTCCCAGTCAGGGCACATGCCTGGGTTGTGGGCCAGGTCCCTAGCAAGGGATGCTTGAGAAGAAACCACACATTGATGTTTCGCTCCCTGTCTTTCTCCCTTTCTTACCCTCCCTCTAAAAATAAATGAATAAAATCTTTAAAAAAGCAAACAAACTGTATTTGAATCTGTTTAGAATATGTACAAAACAAATATATAGGATGGGGAAAAAGTAGGTTTACATTTGTGAGTCTGCATAGTTTATTCTTGTATTATTATTTATTAATAATTGTATTATTTTTTCATATGAACAGTTGTAAACCTGCTTTTGCCCCACCCTGTATATAAAAGATGAGAGGGAATGTGAGTAATTAATAACTGCTATTTATTAAGCTTTATGTCCCAGGAATGTCCTAAGTTTTAAACATGTTATGTCATCAGTTCCCTTAGTTAATCAATGGAGTTAGACAAAATGACCCATGATTTACAATAAGGAAGCTGGATCTTGGAGAGGTAAAGTAACAGTCTAAGGCTATAGAGCTAATAGATGGCTAAGGCCCACTGATGTGAAGACATAAAGCTAAAATCTCTAATCAATTCAGAAAGTATAGAATTCCAACTTTTTCAGCTTGCTCCTTCCCTGTGGTAGGAGGGCAGGAAGTGAGGAGGAAGAATTTCCCTTAATTGCAGGAGTGGAGAAGAGATTAGCATGGAGCTTAAAATAAACAACTGTCTCTTCAGAGTTGTCAAAGTAAATTGTGTCCCCAGAGACATTTAAAGCCAATTTGATCACATATTGACACCTGGCTGCAGTTGGGGAAGATGATGGCTGGTCTACCAAAGGCAGTTTGAATGGAGTTTTATAAGCAATAGTTTGAAATATTTTGCATAAGAAGTGACTTTGCACATTTTAGTTCATCCTGGCCATCTGGGACCTCACTTGCCATTTGAACATTCATTTAGCCACTCTGTAAAAGTTTACCAGTTAAAAAAGGATGGTAAATGTACAATGAAAAGCAAGGGAACAGACCCCTCAGATAAGTCTCTTCCCAAGATTTGGCAGAATTGCATTCATTTATGCATGCCATCCACCTGGGTTGTGAACCAACATCCCTTTCTCTTCAATGTGTTGTGATTCAGCTCCTTTAGTAAAGCACACAGTTCAAAAGCCTGTGGTTCTTCCTAAAGTGGCTTGTAAAGAAGTGGAATAACCCCTTGGGGATTTAGGACAGATAGCAGAGTCAAAAGATGTAATGAGGTTAACAACCTGGCCCTTGATTCAGGCTGCTGGGGCTGGTTCTGGTTTTTTACCACCTGTGGGACCTTGGACAAATGCTGACAGTCTGTGTTTCTGTTTGCTGCTCTGTGAAATGGGTACATTATAGTTCCTGTTTCAAAAGTGGTAGTGAGGATTGAAAAAGGTCATGCAAGCAGAATCCTTGCTAAGTAAATAGATATAAATAGATAGTAGCTATTTTTATTAACTCAGCCAGGGTACATTGCCTGGCCTCCAAAGAACTTGAAATTTTAACTAGCTACTTCTGTCTTATGGTGTTGGACATGTGTTTTGGAGGAACTTCATGGTAGGATCAAAATTTAGTTATTTGCAGGGGTAATATAATCCAAATATAAGAATTAAAAAACAACCATGATAGATACAAATCATCAGATTTCTATCTGATTCTGAATTTACAGACAACAGTTAGAATTTTTAATAACATTCCATTAGTCAGGACTAGAAAAATTTTTATTAATCATTTTATTCAATAATATTTATTTTTACCTACTTAATTTTGATTTTTGAATGTAGCCTTCAGAAGTATATTTTTCTAGGTTCTTTTCTAGAAAGCAAAGAGAAAGGTATGAGACAAGATATGAGAAGGATACAAGGTGGCTGACTTAGGGCTACTACCTCGAGGGCACCAAGGCCTTGGTAAGAATTTGAATCCATAAAATCAAATAGGTGCTCTTCTTTGCCTCTTCCTAGCTCCAGTGATCTGTTCACAATCTTTTGTATTTTTTGGCCTGTGGATACATCATTCCAGACCCCTGTCTTCCCAAAGCCATCTCCCTGGGCATGTTTGCCTCTGTGCCCAATTTCCCTTTTCAGGAGGAGGTAAGCCTTATTGGAGGAAGGCTTACTCTAGTGACCTCATTTTAATTTGATTAGCTCTATGAATATCCCATTTCCAAATGAAGTCACCTTCCAAGGTACTGAGGCTTAGGACTTCAACATATCTTTTGGAGGAGGCTGGCACAGTTCCACCTGTAACAGCAACTTAAGCACAAAGGGAATTCATTGGGGAGATACAATACAGCTTATTAAATTAAAGTACAAGCTACAGAATGAGCAACTGAAGGGTCAAGAGAGTATGGCTTCCCAAAGACCCAAGGAAAGAACTACTCCCAGCCCTGCCAGGAGGTTGCTACAGGAATAGGGGCATCTGCCCTGCCTTTCACATCTTTGTGTCATTCTGCCCGACATCTGGAGTCCCAGGAGACTGATTGAGTGATTCCTTGGCTGGAAATGTCAGAGCCTCATCATTTTCTCTCCCAACACTACTACATCAACAAACCAGAGATAATTCATCTAAGATTTGGGATGCTATTGCCAAGAAAAAAGAAGCAGGATGCTAATGGACACAACCAAATGTCTAATCTAGGTCCTCTAGCAGCAAAGAGGTGGGGGGCAAAATTTGTAAAAAAAAAATATATATATATATATATATATATTTTCACACATACCTAATTCATCATCTCCATGTTAATAATAAACCTCTGATGATTGTCAGTATATCCATTCATAAAAATTGGCCATTCTGATATAACCTGCCTTTCTTAAAAGTCAAGAAGCTGGAGGAAATTCCAGCGAACCATCATTCTTTCCATTACTGAGTTATATTTAGACTTGGCCACCATGTCAGTTTTATAGAGAAAAATAAATGAGTTCCTGACTAATCCCCTCGTCCATTCTTTGGTCTGCTGTTCCTTGCAGTCTGTTTCAGTCTGGCCACAGGAAGCACAGCATGACCAGCTAGCTGTTCCTTGTTGCCTTAGAAGGAAAAGTATAATCTCCCCCATCTCCCAAGGCACCCACTTCTCATGCTTTAACATCAGGCTCTCCTTCTCATTCCACCCCCTTCAACTCATCCCACCACCACCTCTTCAAAAAATATAGCCATTGTTATAGTAGTTATGCTTGGAATTAAGAAAAGAAAAGAAGAGGTGGAGAAAATTAACAAAATGAGGGGCATAAGGGGGTGGCTCATCATTGAATGGTACAAAATCTTAAAGAATAGACTTAGCCTCCAGGCTGTCTTTTTGCATTTAATCTTCAGAGTCTTGCAAAGATGAATAATAGCTGATAGCCTACTGTGATATTTTGCCTGTTGCCCCATTCCATGAACTGCCTGGAATGAAAGTGGTGATCTCCAAGTCTGGAATAACATGCAAGGAACAGCCTGGGAGTTAGAGACTTGGTCACTGGGTGGGGCAGGTTGCATCTCTGTCTGGAAGTAAGAGTAAAGTCAGTACAGTAGGCAGAACATGGACTCAAAGACGAACAGTGAGTCCTGTGAGAAAGAGCAGACCTTGATGAATGGGGGTGAGGTGGTCTCTCTCAGACAGCAGGAAATGATGAAACAGAAAACATTTGAAAGTTTGCATCCTTAGAGAGACAATGAAGTGGTCCAGCCCAGAAGTAAGATATGTCAGTTCTGTTCACCACTCACTGACCAGACCAGTCACTTGGCCCTACCCAACAACAAGTCAGTCAGGAAGTGTATGTGCCAAGAATGAGGGACTGGGCATACTTAGCTAATAGAAGCAATGGCTTCTGCTTGTCAAAACGCAAACTCCAGGTCCTTCCTCAATAGGCTCTGATTCAGGAGATCTGTGGTATCTGCATTTTAAATAGGCCTCCTCAGGTAAGAGTCTGATGTAGGGGAACAGGGTGGAGTTCCTGGACCACAATATAAGGAACACTGACTTAGAGCATCCCTTTAGTATAAGAGGATGATCAAGAGAATGGGGACAAATCTGAGACACAGATCTTAGAGCTCAGATGTTGGGCCACCTTAGGTTGTTACCAAAGAGGACCACAGATGCCTGGACACTGAGGCCCAGAGGGCTGGACTGAAGCCCCCAAAATGCCCAGGCACAAGGGTAGTGTTGGAGCTGTGCCTGAGACAGAGCAGACCCTCAGCTGTGTATGCAGCTTCTCAGGCACTGAGAGAGGGTGAGGGGTGTGGGGCTGACTCTAGGCAATGATTCTCAGAGGTGATCTAACATGTATGTTTAAATTAGCAGAAACTCATTGGCCAGTATAACATTTTGTTGTATAATTGCTTTCTTTATTTCCTCTGTTCTTCCTTCTCTTCTCTCCCCTTTCTCCTTCCTTTCCTTTGCTACCCACTCTCCCCTTCTCCCTATTATTTTCTCCTTTCTTTCTTCCTTATTTTTATTCTCTACTTCCCCCTCCAATTTTTCTCTTCCCCAATATTTCCTCTTCATATCTCCTTCCTCTCCCCATTCCTTCTCCCCTCTTCTCTCTCATCAATTATTCTCCCTCCTTCTCCCTCTCATTTCTCCTCTCCCTTGGCACCCACCCCCATTTTCTCTCCAGGTACTATGCTATCTGCTGCCAGCCTTTGGTCTATAGGAACAAGATGACCCCTCTGCGCATCACATTAATGCTGGGAGGCTGCTGGGTCATCCCCATGTTTATCTCTTTTCTTCCTATAATGCAAGGCTGGAATAACATTGGCATAATTGATTTGGTGAGTAGGCCTCATGCAGACTCCCACTGATGAACTATCTGATTCACTTTGTTTGCTTAGGATTCCAGATAAACAAAACAGTATCAAGTTGGGTGGATATCCCAAGAATGATTCTGACAGTGATCTGAGCCACAAGAACAACAGAAAAGCAAGCTATCATTTTTTAATGCTTTACTGTATGCCAGAAAAAAAAAGCAAAATTCTTTACCTATAATCCTGAAAATATCTTTTGCTCATCTTATCCAGATGAGAAAAGTCAGGCTCAGAAAGGTGAAGTAATGTGCCCAGTAATATGCCTAGGAAGTAGCAGAACAGGTATTCAAAACTTAGCATTCAGACTCCAGTGCTTCAAGAAGTCTTCCTCCTATTTCATGCTGAGAGTCTTTGAGATTTTCAGTGATCCACAGAAATCATGTCATGTGAGTGGAAGCTTCTAGAGAATGAGGAGAGCCCTGGACCAAGAGTTGAGAGCTGAACCCTGAGCCCAGTCCTCTCACTGACCCACTTTCCACAGGGCTGTGATGAGAAGATTCATTGGTCCCCTGTGGACAATAGTGTGCCCCAGGGTGTAGGAGAATAGCATGGTAGCATGTGTCAGGAGCTTACCACCTTCTGTCTAGGTGATTGTTAAGAGTCATCCAGCTTGGACATACTTTGTGATGACAATGAAAAGCTAAGGTCTGGATTCATTACCAGGGATATATATTCTCTAAGGAAGTAGTCAGGCTGTCACTTTAAAGTTGATCCCAGGAAATGTTGTGGCAGGAAGGGGAATAAAGAGGAGAGATTGAGAGCAATCTCTGGCCCAACAGAAGCAGTTAAAGTAGGAACTGCCTCTTCTTCTCTTTACCCCATTCCCAGCCCCTAATCTTGCCTTGTTCTTTGTCCAGGAAAGGATACACAAACCAAGGCTGGGCGAGGATTTGCATGTGGTATGTCAGAACAAGAGTTCCCAGGGCTTCTGAGAGCAATGCTGGGCACACAGGAATGGAGAAGTAAAAGGGGACCCATACAAGGGACTGTATGGATCTTTTCTTGCATCCTATCCCTCTTCTTTCAAACTTTCACTTGTATCATTTTTGGGGGAAGTGAAATTTAAGTTTCCAACAACCAGGAAATAACAAACAACAAATATTGAGCACTTACTGTGTGCTGAGTCCCATGAGAATTGAATCACTGTTGTTATGAACAAGTGAAGTTTATAACTCAGGCCTCCTGACAACACTGTGTGGGGGATCCTATTATTGTCCTCAGGAAATGAGGATCAGAGAGATGACGTTCTTAGCTAAGGTCACATGGGGCAGGAGGGGTGGTGGCCATATCTAAGCCCAAGTTTCCTGGGCTCCAGAGACTAAGCTCTTACTGTTTGTGTTAAACTTACTCCTTAATGGAGAAAACCTTTGGAAGCACAAGCTCTTGAGACCACAACACTTTTACCTTCTGATGTAAAATTTTCAAGGGAAATAACCTAAGAAATGCATGTCCATTTATGAGAATGCAAGGCATCTCCTGTTTACTCTGTGGAACCAGGGGATGGGTCAGCTCTTTACTCTCAGCATATCTAGTCTTTGCTTCATGATGTTGTGACTGCATTTCAAATTTTCCAATCATTTGCACATTGAATCAGCCCAAAGGGAAGCTAGCAGAATCCACATGTTCAGAATACATGGTAATTAGATTCCATAAAGTTGCTGCAAACACTGAATTAGAAAATATTGAATCTTTACTCCTAGCAGAAATAAAGGGTTAGGTTCCTGCAAGTCTCTGGTCACAATATTTTCGTCAACTAATCAATACATAATCCATTCTGCTTGTAAGAGAGACTCATGAAATATAAAATGACAGAAAGTTTGAAAATATAAAAAATAGAAAAATATAATATTCAAACACTAACCAAAAAGAAAGCTGATATAGCTGTACTATTATCAGTGATAAAATAAATGTAAGGCAAGTAACACTACTTGAGATAACATGAGGCATTTCATGATGATAAAATGTCAATTCAATTAGAAAGCTATACTATAACCTTATAATATACTGTAAGACACCAAATTACTTCTGTATTTTAGTGTCATCGTGTCACACAGCTTTCTTCAGCCAAGGGATATTCCTAGAGGAGGCTGGTGACTAAGAGTTGTTCCCATACAGAGTTTAGAGTGGGGAGAAAATCTTTCAGTCCTTTCAAAGGGATCTAGGGCATCAGAACGCAATGCAGTCAGTGTTATTCACTGTATTAATAGAGAAAGAAGGGAGAGTCCACATGATAATCTCATTACTGCCAAAATGCATTGATGAAATTTAGTATCCATTTACTTTTTAAAAAAACTCTCATCAAACTAAGACTCAGAAGAGAGCTTCCTCAAATAAACAGCACTGACCAAAAACTTACAAATATGGTACATAATAGGAAAATTTTGAAAGTTCTTCTCCTAAAACTGGGAACATAATAGTGGTGTCTAATCTTACTGCTTTTTTCCCCAAAATTATCCTGGAGGACTTGTCAGGTTCAGTAATGCAAGAAAAAATGTTATTAATATTGAAAAGGAAGAAATGAAATTGTCATTATTGACAAATCACATATGTGTGTGTATATGGAGAAAATTTTAAAAATCTAGAGATGAAATATTAGTAACTAATTTAACAAAGTTACTGGATATATAGTCAATATACAAAAAATCCACTAAGTTCTACAATCAGTGAGGATTAAAATTTTTAACATACCATTTGCGAGAGAATGAAATCTCAAGTACTCAGGAATAAATCTAACAAAATAAGTGTAAGACTTTTACACGAATATATAAAATATTACTAAAATAAATTTTAAAAGACTTCAGTAAAGGGCAAGGATTACCATGTTTGTGAACACAAAGAATTAACATTGTAGAGGTATCAGTTTTCCTCAATGATTCTATCTTAACTCCAGTCAAAATTCTAAAAGATTTTTTATAGCAGTTAATAAGCTATAAAGTTGACTCAACTTTATCTGGGAAGTGCTGAGATTATAATAGCCAGAGTAGATGTGAAGAAAGAAGAGTCACACTTCAAAGATGTTTACTCCCAGGTACATTGTATGCAAGCAGACAGGGAGTAGGAGACAAGTGGAGCTCTACCACTGGCTGGGTAGACAGAATGAAAAGTGATTTTGTCCCTATGTTCTTTGTATTCTTCACTAGGACCTTCAGCCCCTTGTGGATAAACAAGCCCTCTGAGCCCTGGGATCTGATCATACTCCTTTTCTACTGTCATGGTTCTATCTAGGTGCTGTAGGCTGAGATGTAAAAAAGGAACTTCTGCTGATAAACCTTTTTTCTTTCCTTTCCCTTTTATTCTTTCTTCCCTTTTGTTCAATGTTCCCCTCCCTTCTTTCTACCTTCAATTTCTCCTTTTCTCTTCTTCTTTTTTCTTTTTCTTTTCTTACAATTTTCCTCCTTCCCATCCTGCTGTTTCCTCTTCGCTTTTTTGTCCCCCATCTCTTTCCTTCTGACCTTCACCTCTCAGATAGAAAAAAGAAAGTTCCACCAGAACTCCAACTCTACATACTGTATCTTCATGGTCAACAAGCCCTACGCCATCACCTGCTCCGTGGTAGCCTTCTACATTCCATTCCTGCTCATGGTGCTGGCCTATTACCGCATCTATGTCACAGCCAAGGAGCATGCCCACCAGATCCAGATGTTACAGCGTGCAGGAGCGCCCTTGGAGGGCAGGCCCCAGCCAGCAGACCAGCACAGCACTCATCGCATGCGGACAGAGACCAAAGCAGCCAAGACCCTGTGCATCATCATGGGTTGCTTCTGCCTCTGCTGGGCCCCATTCTTTGTCACCAATATTGTGGATCCATTCATAGACTACACTGTCCCTGGACAGGTGTGGACTGCTTTCCTCTGGCTTGGTTATATCAATTCTGGATTGAACCCCTTTCTCTATGCCTTCTTGAATAAGTCTTTTCGACGTGCCTTTCTCATCATCCTCTGTTGTGATGATGAGCGCTACCGAAGACCTTCCATTCTGGGCCAGACAGTCCCCTGTTCAACCACAACCATTAATGGGTCAACACATGTGTTAAGGTGAGTGCCTAGGGGCTTGGTGGATTTGGTTTATTGGCATTAGTCAGAAAACTGGGCAACTGTCCAGTTTTCTGTTTCTGGAGGGGTTATTCTTGAAAACCGGTGCAGTGTTTGCAAAAATTAAAGAGACCCTACCATCTGGCCATGGAATAGAGTAGTGGGTAAGTGCTCAGGCCCTCCAGGAGAGAGACCTACATTCAAATTCATTCTCCATAGTTCTGTGACCTTGGGCAAGTCATTTAACCATTGTGAACCTTAACTTTTTTAAAATTGAGATTATAATTATGATATCTACATTACAAGTTTTTTGTGAGGATCAGGTTAGCTAATGTATGTAGGGTATGTGGTACAGAGCCTACCATTGGTAACCTCTTAGTAAATATCATCTACTATCATTTTTAGGTGCTATAGAGGGTAAGGGTTAAGGGCATGGACTTTAAAGAAAAATAGACTTTATTTTGACTCTTGGTGCCATGACTAACCATTTGTGTAATCTCTCCTTGGTTTTACTTTCCTCAACTATAGAAAAATGGTAAAAATAATTACATCTCACTGGGCTTTTGTAACAATTAAAGATTGTATTCAGGTCTGACACATTGTAAACACTGTTAATACCACTAATAATGTCATTAATGTTAGTAGGTATAGGAGTGATAGCCTAATACCCAAAGATGACCATAAAATAACATGAGAAACTAAAATAAATATAATGATATATATGCAATAATAATTCCATGTCAGAAAGGATCTAATGAAGTATGGACAGTCTAGAATGGGGAGGTGTGAGTAAGAAAGCAGCTGATTTGGCTTCAGGCAAATCAGGGAAGGCTTTGCCGAATGACATTTTGTAGAAATTTGAGACTTGGTGGAGAAATCAAGGCAGGCTTTCCAGGGAGAGAGAACAGGATGAGGAAGTAAGTGGGATAACAAAGAATATGGAAAGGTCACTTGGTTTACCCAAGGTCATCTCAGTTTTTGGAGGTGAGAGTGACTTTGGAGTTGAATAGAGCTGAATATTCAGTGATTAGTCATGATGTCTCTTTCCAGACTCTGAGAATTTTTTGGCTACGCCAGCCTAGAGTTGTTCTAGGCCATGAAAAGCCATGTGTGATCAGTACATTCATCCTGTAGCTAAGATGAACTGCCAACAGCATTTTTTTCTTCATCCTGAGAGATACAGGCATTTCTAATGAGGGTTCCTTCTTTGAGACAAGCATTTAATTTTCCCAGTGATGACAGTAGTCAGCTGTTCTGGCAGCTGAAGATGGGGGCATTCTTATTGACATGTGGAAGACAAGAAGAGGAGAAAATGGGGTTGCTGTGAAATATAAACACCTTGCCCCAGGGGCTGATCAGAAGCATAGATTCCATTCTCTGTGGGCAGACTCGCAGCTAAAGCCTAGGGTGGTGTTAAGACTCTGGCTGGTGGAAGGGCCTCCAAGGACACTCCTATAGGCTGACATTCTTTTTTTTTTTAATATTAAATTTTATTTAGTTACTTTTCAAGTACATTTTTTTAAATCTATTTCTCCCATCCCCCCCCCCGGTCTCCCCCCTCCCTCCCATTCCCCCCCCCCCAGTCCTCATCTCTGTGTCTTTCATACTTGTTCCTCAAAATCCCTCCCCCTTGACATTCTTAGTAATTATGCCTTGGCAAGTGCCATGGAAAGGATCCAACTATAAAATAAAATATGTGTACAAGAACTTCTGTGTGGGTGCCAGATAGTTTCTAGGTATTTGAGGTAGCAGTTGCTGGAGCCCAGGCTGCCAACTCCTTACAAACAGAGGTCTCCCCAGCAATGCGTTTGCTGAGCCAGTTGTTTAGAACTGGGTGGCCCTTCCCATAGAAACAGTCATGGAAGGAGTTTGAGGGTTTCTAGGGCAGCCCAAGAAACCCTGCTTTACTACTCTGTACGATTTTATCCCTGTGGCTCCTGGAGGTCTGGCTTGCGATTGTAAAGCACAGATAGCAGTTTAGAGGGGGCTTATGGATACATTCTTCATAACTCAGTCCCTGCCTGTCTTCACAGGGTCATGAAGAGTGCAGGAAGTTGGGGTACTTTTCTGTGGGGGTGAGGAGTCTTCTAAGAGTAGAGCAGCCTATCCAGAGAGAAGACTATCTGGAACTTGAATCTGCTAGGGTGTAACCCTTGCCTAAAACAGGAATACTGCCTGTTGTATTCGCTGCTGCATACAATCTGTTGCCTAATGTATAATAGGAACTTAAACTCTTAATGATTAAATTAGCAAATCATACAATTATCTCCTCAGATCAACTCTATTAACACAATGTAAGAAAAATTTACACTTTTCTTTAAAAATCCCACAGACAGGATATCACCAAATTCAGATGAATCCATGGACCATAAAACCTAAACAGTCAAAAGTAAAATCAGTTTTATCCTGCTATTCCTACCTCTAGCCTTTATTTTTCTTGGTATTTAAATGCTTTAGACAATGGAATTCCTTGTTGAACTCTTATAAGACCAAGTATTTCCTAACAGTAGAAACTATGACTTTTATATATGTGCCACATAGTCCACTGTCTGAAACAGTGGATGATCAAATGATCAACACATTTTTGCTGATAAAATGTCTTCATGATTGTCTTCAGGCTAATGGAAGGTTAAAACACTCAAAATTGAAAAGTATCTGTTTTTTTTTGTTTGTTTTTTGTTTTCTGAGACTCTCAACACTATAGAGGACTCAGTTTATACCCTGGAATCACATCAGGAACAACCAGCTTGGGACAACACTCTGAAATTGTGAGGCCTATTCCTCTTAAGGTTTTTTGAAAGAGTGGAATTTCATTCTTCCAAGTTGAATTAAAAACAAGCCAGTTGTTTAGAATCATAGGTCTCCCATGTTTGGTATTATCCTTGGCTCTTGGACTTAACAAAACATTTTTTTATTAAACAGCAAATGGGTAGTCAATGAAATAAAATATGCTTTTGCAGTACATTCTACTTAGAGAACTTTGATCACTCAGATCGACTATTGGACACAGTAGCAAACATGTGTGCCATTGTGATTGGTTGTCTTCTATTGGACATGTGTTCTCTTAGGGATATCCAACCCACAAGCAAAATAGAAGTGAAGATACTGTTTGGTTTGCTGATGAAGTAGTTTATCTTGACACATAGGTGGCATAGCCTTTTAAAAATATATTCCAAACATGAATTATTATCAGATAAATGTTTCTTGGGGAAGTTTTAATGGCATGCACATGTGTGTTTAGAGAAGCAGAACACTAGCATGTGGACAGTGGGTTCTAAAAGGTTTGTCATGTGTGTGAACTGATCCGTAGTGAATTTGGAGCCAGTTTCTCTCTCCTTGTCACATCCTTAATTTGGTGCGGATTGGTTTGCCTCATCCAGTATCTCCTTAGTCACATGGGAGTCACTCTCCCACTGTAGGAAATACGTACATGAAATGTAATGGCAGAGAAGAGAGGAAAGAAGCTAGTGAGAAAACATTGGCTGCTTTTCTGATCAAGTCAATAATAAAACAAGAATATCTTGTCGCCTGTACTGTTCAACATTGTACATGTAAAATCCAAATGACAGAAAAAAGAAATATGAGGTACAAAGATTGGGGGTAAAAAAGAATATTTGCCATTATTTAAAAACAATATAGTCAGAAAAATCCTCTGTAAACTGGGGAAACTGGGATATTTCACAAGGAAGCCCAAACATTATTAGATACTAGACTCCTACGTACTAGAATTAACCAATTAGAATGGGAATTAGGAAAAAAAATTACTATCCACAGAAGCAATAAAGTTACTTTAAAAATGTAAAAGAAAAATGTAAGACCTTTATTGAAAGAGTCTTTAAAACTTTCCTGAAGGAGAAGAGCAAGGGTTTACCTAATGGTTCCCTGTGAACCCAGATAAGATAGCTATTAATTCCAAACTTTCTTTTCAAGTTACAGGAAACTCATCTGAAGTCCAGGTATGCAGAGTCTGGGACTTGATTTATTAGAATCTGAGGTTTAATTCACAGTAATCATGTACTGAGCATCTAATATGCCAGACACTGTGTGTAAGCTGGTAAAATGAGAGGTCCTGCCTCACTGAACTCCCACAGAGGAAAGAAACTCGTAAGCAGATATAGTACAGTGAACATCACTGGAGTTGTGCACAGGTTTACCAAAGGGATTGCTACCCAACCAACAGTTTCCTTGTCATCACTGATGATGGTCATCCAGTTTCTACTCCTGGTCCTGCAGTGAGTGAATCTTACCATTGGATGAGCCTGCTTAATGGTTGGGCAGCTCTAGAGTGTAAGAGTCGTCCTATGTTGAGTTGCAGTCTCCATAGTTATGACTTCTTCTGACCAGCAAGAGAAACCCAAGCTACATCTTTTTTATTGAAGTAGTCCTTTCTGTATATTTTAATTATATGTCCTTTCTGAGGCTTTTCTTTTACAGTCAGAGTGTCCCAATTTCTTCCATTACTCTCCATGCAGTATCGTTGAAGGTTTGGAGGACATAATCATGTCTCCTTCCTTGTAGCCTTTGTTTTTATTTTTCTTGATCATTTTTTAAAAGCATGGCCAGCAGACCATTCACATTAGAATCACTTGGGAATTTAGTAAAAACAGAGGATCTTGTGTCGCCTTCACTGAATTGTAGCAAATTAGGGAAAATGACATTATTTCCAAGTGACTCTTTTGCATAGTATCTTTGAGAATCACAGTTGTAGACTTTAATAAATTGGAACAGTCCAGTGTTTGCTAGCATTGATTGTGCTTCAAGGTTAAGAAATATTATAATTCTTGATTCTTTAAAATTTTTAATTGATTTGAGAGAATAAATACTCCTTCTGGGTTATTACCCCTGTTTTTCCTTTTATGTAACAATAATCAGAATTTATGGTTGTGTTTCTTTTTTTTCTTGTTTTTTATTTGTGTCCCCAGTCAGACTGTGAATAATAAGGACTGGTAACATGTTCGTTTCATTCCCAAAAAGTTTCCCTAGGATATAGCATGTTGCTTAAT